CGCCGGTGAGAAGTTTAGTTGGATAGGAAGATTGGCTTTGCATCAAACCAGCGAAGATATTGAACAATTTCCGCCAGAATTGCTACTTCTACTTCGCGTGGAAACCGCCGTCAAGAAAAAGAGGCATGAAGACATAACGTCAGCGCTCAAATGTGACGACTTGACAATAATAAACCGGGCTTTTAAGGCCTCCTGGTTTTTCGATGGCAGGTACAAGGAGATCGTCGACGTCGCATACTTCTGCAAACATTTTTCCTTACGTTTCCGTAAACACGAGAACACGTATCATAAAGACACTTGCATAGATTGAAGGATCCGGTTTTTGCGCAGCAAATGTTCATAGCAGTGGAATCTATTTATGACGTTCAAATCGCTTACCCATTATTCCTGGCTTGTGATACGACTTTTACTTATGATATGATCATAGAAAAAGAACTCGTGCTGCAAAATTTGTTAAACAGCTATTCCACAAAAATCTGGATTTGGCAGTGCGTTTTCTCAAATTATTGAAGCCTAAATAACATACGAATCAATATACTAAACACATTCCATTCACGATCGACATCAATAAATATCTTTCTTTACTGCCCAAATTAATAAAAAAGCGAGTGGAAGATTTCGTGGAGATATATGAGACTCATGAATCGAATATTCATTTAATTTTGAGCAACACACGTATATTCTTTTCTGAAATATTCTTGAAAAAGGCTAAGAAGCACTTGATAATGAAGCCGCGTACATACTTCCACATCTTGTCACTTAAACAGATCAACGAGCATTTAATAGAAAAAATATTTCCGAATTTATTACCCAGAGAAGAATCTTCCTTCGCCACAAACAAGGCGTTCGACTATTTAAGATATTATCCAGATAATAAAAAATACGAATTACTCCGTAAATCATACGAGTCTAAATATAATAATAATTTTTTCTTCGAAATGAAAAATGTAACGGAAGACTTGCTAAAATTGTTACCTACCAAGGAACGGATCAAACGAGCTAGAATGATGTTCGCGAAAGAAAAGTATGAAAGAAAAGGTGTATTCTTATACGAGACAAATTGGATTTGTTATTACCCTGTTAACACAGCGATACCACATCTCAAGGAACAAATAAATATAACTAGAAATGAAAGAACGAGGTATGATTTAATTGAAAAAATGATGAAAGTTTGTATGAATAATAAGGATGACGATGCGTTGTCCGATACCTTGATGTACTTCTTGAATAGACATAAGAACGAACGATATAGTGTATTTGATATGTTGTTCCGTTTTCTTAACGTACATTATTCGCCTCATAATTTTAATGAAAAGCAGCTCTCCCTTGTAGTAGAAATTATCTAATTGTTTTATATAAAAAATGAATTCGTACCGAATATAATGTTCAATTATATGGTGTATTTCAGACTTAAACACAATATGCCAATGGAACAATTGATCGACATGTTTCTAGAAAATAATTATCAAAACTTGTACATAAACGGCTTGAAACCACAAGATGAAAGACGATGGATCGTAACATTCTTAAATATAATTCAAAAAAAGCATTTTGAAGATTTCAATGAAAAAGAAAGCATATTTTTCAAAATTGTCCAGGCGATAGACAAATTCAATGATACATGTAAATGCTATAAGAATAAAATCAATGTAGAAAAACTGACAATTAGAGATTATCCTTGGTTAATGGACGCCGTTTTCGAAATATTACGTTCTGAAAAACATTCTGAAAATAATAATAATAATAATAATATTGAGAATAATATGCACCGTCTACTGCAGTCGCATGAACCAGAATTATATCACAGGTGGTTTCCACCATCAGAAGATATCACATTTGCAAGCTTGACACTCGTTTTAAAATCAAATTTACAAAATAAACAGGAGAATTGGGAAAAGTATTTAGATGTCAGCAAGAAAAATCACCATCTCAAACAGGTGCACCACTTCATTAGGAGCATGCGTTGGTACAAAGACCTACCCATTAAATTTGCCGAACGTTGCCGAATGGATTGTGTGTACGAAAAACACAAAGTTAAAATATCATCTAGCATTACTATCTTGGCCATTTTACTTCACGGTGAGACAGTGACAAAGTTAATCGATTTTTTCGCATTCACGGAAATGAAGATAGATACTAGCTGTCCGAACGCTAAGGATAACTACAAGATGATGAAAAATTTAGCATTAAGCATGAGACTTTCCAATCCGCCAATTCGTCTTGACCTCATAATTAGATTATGCGTAGGAGATTACTTGCCAATAGCTTTGATGATACTAATGAGCGTAAGTAAACGAACTCCTATGCCTAAAGTAATATCATGCGCGCAAAAGTTGACGAATATGTGCGTGAGTGTACAAAAGCATGGGATTAGGCTGATGTCTTTAATATATTCTATGAAACAACTTCTTAATTTCTATCAAGAAATATTGTTAACCGCGAACCATTATTCAATATAACTAGTTTTATTCGACGCAATCCAAAAATTGTTCTTATCAAATCCAAAACCCGAAACTTAGTCCCTATATTGTCAAATCGTGTGGTCGATGAATCCCACTAACTCTATTATTAAAAAAAAACACGAATACATTACTTGTCTTAGATATAATTTTAAAAACGGTAACTGATTCGTTACATGATTATATAACGTTACATAAAGAATCATTTCGTTATGTAAAAAATTACAAATTCATATCAATTCCCAATGAATACATTATGAAATATTTCGATCTGTGGTTGAAAACAGTGGACAATTTTTATAAAATGAAACCGTATGTTGTAGAAAATTTTATTACCTTAAAGTTACTTAAACTTTTAGAATTAAATATTTTCGATCTTTTATCCAAAGAATTCATCGAAAGTATATTTCGAAGATATTTATTTCATTGTAGTTTTAACGTGAGTAGAGCAGCGAAATCCTTTACGATATCGTATCTTTTATTGCAGAATAAAGATGAATACATAACATACTTTAAAGTACTTTCCATACTTTACATACTTTAAATATCTTTCGTGAAGTAAACACAGCGATCACTTGCGACGGGCCTCAATTATGTTATAAAAAATATAACTGGATAGAAAATATAAGTCGATTCAATGAAATCATGCATTCATTCATAAATATTTTCATTAGTCGTATTTGCGTGTTTGGTTACTCTAATGAATCTATTAATCCAGAAGTCATCGATAGTTTGCAAATTTTATTTTCATCTTTCTTTTCACCTCAACAAGATGCGAGGTGTTATTTGCGATTAGTATATGCAAAGAAATTTCAAGAAGTTTGCAACGAATCTTCAAGGATGAAAGCTTTTGGCTTGAAAATTCGTCAACATTTGTCCGAATTAGTTGATATTTTCTCGTCACTATTAATCCCGTTCATGGCCGAAATTCTCCAGGATTTCGTTCGCGAAATACGTAATTCCGCAGAATATGAACACTGTATTATTAGAGTCATAGAAGGTCTTGTTGAAACTGGCAATATGAATTCCTACTTTATAGCTGTTACCGTCGCAGAATTCGATGAATAAATATAAGACAGCATATTATTGTCAACTCATTAAAGAATTAAAAGAAATGCAGGAGCCTTTTATCAAAATTTTTTTATACAAACATTTTTTTAAATGAAATTGATTTTTCCAAATTGATTGAAAAAATGAAAGAAACTGAAGATGAATGAGTTTTATATATGTATTTCCAGCGACATTATTAATGTTTTGTTATTGTTTATTGTTTAATTGATCATTGAATTGCAAGTATATACTTTTATATACATTAAATTGTTAATGCGCAAGTTTTTTTTAATGAAATGGTCGCAAATTCTTATATAAATATTTACTTTTTAGAGGGATACCTAAAGTTTTTCAATAAACATTTAAAATGTTTCTCGAAGGAGAATAAATGCATGAATCATTATATTTAAGAATCATACGAGGTAGATATTGTATAAAGAACACGCATGTTTATAAATTTTTTTGTAGCGATTATATATAAGTAAAAGCGCAATGTGAGTTACATAATAAAGGTTTTTTTAAGCAGTTTAAATAAATATGGCGTTGCATAGTATGTGTCCATTTACTTCAAATCTTATTTAATATACGTGATTATATTATTTGTTATCAGTATATTTCTTAAGCAAACGAACAGATAATGGATACATTCTTTACGGCATACGATAACTTTTTTCATACAAAAATCCTCTAATATCTTTCCTGAAATACCTTTTTCTAAATACGCGATTTAAAAATTTTAAAGGAAATAAAAAAGATAATAGAAGTTTTTCTACTTTACAGTAGGCGGTTTTCGAAACTTTTAAACTAATTTCTGTAAATCGAACGATGATATTTATGTATCTCTGCATTAGCATCGATAAAAATAATACTGTTGAATCAGAAGATTAAACATATCAATTCCCAGATAGCACACGACATTAATAGAACGTATATGAACGGTCTAAGAATATTTGTACATTCTTAAAATGTTTTATGAACAATTTCTTTAGAAATTTGATTCTGATGGATTGATATATCAACGAACTTGAGGGCAGAGAATTCTATTGTAAATTCTTTCACAAATTATAAACTATAGTGATTTTAGCGAAATGAAGAGAATTGATATTAAGTAAGTAGACTGATATAAGTATTTTATCTTTACTAAAGATAAAATTAATAAATTATTATAAAATCATAAACGTGCAAGTCATTCACTATTGTCGTTAATAATGAGGGGCGAGGAAAAAAAGTGAAACTATAAAAATATAAGATAAGAGAGAAAATGTTGAGGTGTGATTTTGAACGTTTTTGGAAGAATATGAAAAATAGTTGCGGCGTGCTGATTACATAAATAAGACTCATTTTACTGACGCAAGTAGCGTTCCAATTGCAAAATAACACTAGTCATTATACCAGTAATAACGACTAACCATTCATCAAAAAAAAAAAAAAAAAACCCGATAGGTTAGATGATTAAAATTATCGTATTTCTAGCGCTACTAACGTACTTACGCGATGCATCGAAGCCGGTGATGAAGTCAGGACATGGTATATAAGCTGTTGATCCTGCTGGAGTGTTCGGCCAACAGGACCATCCATCGAAAGTGAATCGACAATATGATTCTGAAATCAAAGTTTGAACAAGAGATTGTAACAGAATGATAGATCGATGATCTCATAAAACGCGTAATTTGCTAGATATGTAGCATTTAACAGTATGCCGAGATTAAATCTCGATATACAAGAAATTGTGAAGCGATATAATGACATCGTAAAGAAAATATCATAAATAGCACCGCGTAAGTTGATTACGGCAAATTGGATAAATTTTCTCACGCAACGTATACGACGGTCGTAAAAAAGACAACTCGTAACATATTACTCATCACTAAAGAACTATAGTGATATACCGACAAAAGGCACATTTCCTACATATGAGATCCACGAGAGACTCATAAAATCTTCTCATTTAGGAGATAGAATAAATTCAAAGCCAATCCGCATTTTTACAAATTGTTGCAAGTACACATAAAAAATTTGACAATTTATATTTAAAGATATATCGTATATTAACTAAATATAAAATAAAACACATTTTATTATATAATATTATAATTGAAATGGAATATCAAGACATATGGAAATATCGTGTTTTAATATATCTTGTTTGTTTCTTTTATTTTCATATCTGTACGTTTATATAGGGTAACTCCGGCAAATATGCCGCGCTGGGATTTACGCCGCAGAAGTAATAGAAGAAGTGGGGGTAATTTTCCCGCAACTGCTCTGTTACATGCCTTTATGTTATATTAGTATTGTGTTATGGTTTCAGCTTCTTATTGTTAATATTAATGAAATTGTTGCGAGTTGAATCGATTTGTCACTGTAATAAGTAGCGCCATCATAAATTATAATCTACATAAAATATGATTACTGTAGGGCGTGTAAAAGATTTAGTAGTTATTTCGTGATACATACGTATAGAGGAATAGTAAAGCAGGTTATATAGCAAAATACAAGTGCTTTGCTTTCGTATTCTTTGTTTAGTTCGTTGTCTTGTATATTCTCATCTGTCTGGGATATACGGCATTTTTAGCGGATGGGATTTATGCCCAAAGCATACAAAATGCGCAGATTGAATTCTGTGCATTAAGTGCAATCAACGCATTACGTGAAATATGTACCTCATGGCGTAACACTTGTAATATATATAGAAAGATTGTAATTATTATTTATTACTTCATATACATATTTATCATTCTTATTCCTTAATAAAACTTTATAAACACGGATTTTATAAGTTACTGTGTCATTTTACGTCTTATTTATAAGCATTATTTGTAAATTTTTCATGAACCGTACATACTTCCCCTCCCTCTATGAGCAGCCATATATCCCACCCATATGGGATATACGGAAAAAATGCAAGGGTTTCAAAAAGTTATTTTTTAATATGAAAAATAAACATTTCGGATTTCTAATATTTTTTTCATAGTAATAGACAGTACAAAGTTTTTATTGATATAGTTCATTTACTTTAAACATAGTAAATAATACTTAATAAATTAAGTTTTTGATAGGTGCGGTGTATATACCGGAGTTACCCAACATGTACCATAAACAATTCATAAATGCATAAGAAGAGCATAGAAACCTATATGTATAAAAGGGAAACTAACTTTAAACTGTATTAATGCGAAATCACGTTTAAGGGATTCCATCGTGGTTATAAGTTCGAGAAAGTTCGCATTTGCTCACAAGATCCAAGTTTCGAAGAAACGTTGATAGCATATAGATATTTCATTCAAGATCTCTTGCGATTCCGTCAACTTTTATTGAAAATAAATCACTCTCTTCTTTCTCTCGTATGACTATAGTCTGAGAAAATGGCACATCCGCGATATTACAAAAAGAATGACTGAAAAAGCCACATGAAATATTTTCCACAGTTCTATGAACATAGATAACCGCGCATTCAGTAAAGTTAATATTACAAAAATGAAATAAATTTTTTCAAGATTAATGTTTGTGTCCGTTTACGTTACAAAAATTTCATTTATCTGTTTCTGTCGTACAAACATTTAGATATATATATTTCGAACATGGAACGTTTCTTTATCTTGCAGAGCGTATGATAAATTTCTGTAACAAACACTGTTCTTATATCTTATATTTGAAAGTTATTTTTAGATATGATCAAAGGAACTTTACTTACTGAGAAAGATGTTCTAATTGTATCGTCAAAAAGTAAACAAAACGAATTCTAATCATATAAATCAGAATTTTGGTAATTATCGTAATTGAATTTCCCGTTATCTCGAATATTCGATAGATTTAACTATAAGTATTTAATTTGTATCTTCTGGTTGAATTTATCGAGAATTCCAATTAACAATAAGACATTTTTCTAGTGTAGGTATGCATCGAATTCACATAAAAATTGTCTTGATGTCTTGCAACTTGAAATATAAACATAAGTTTTTTAATCTGTTCTCGTATAATAAAATAAAAACATATGATAAAATTTATTTTTTAGTTGATTACAAACAAATTTTATTTTAATTTTAAAATTAAATTATTTTATTAAAAAATATATTAAATAATATTAAAAATAAGAAAAATTTACGACCAATTATTTGCCTGTTATTAAATTTTTGTTACACTAAAATTCATTCTAAAATTATTAAACAATTTTACTGCGCATGGAAAACGTTATAATTTTTTTAAATAACATATACATATAATTGCAAATGAAAAAATACTCTAAAAATTATTTTTCTATAGAAAATAAAGAAAACTTATGAAAATTACGATCCAACTAATTCTAAATTCATTTCGCATCATTTATGCGTTATCGTTCTATAATCTATAAGCATGGTGTATGTATCGATGTTCACTTATATATATGTGAAAATTTATGGTAAGTGGACATTATATTCTAAGATACATATATATATATATATATTAAAATATGATATCCACTTTGTTTCTTATATTTTTATCACAATTTTTGTCTATATATATTTATGCGCAGTTGCTTTTTTAAGTTCATTTTGCATCATATCTATAAGTACATAAATAAATTTGCATGAAAAACAATGATTGAATTTTGAGTGTGTTTTATGAAAATATTAAAAAGAAATAAAAATGTTAAGTTCAAATATTTTACGAACTAAACGTCAGTACGTAAATTTCAAAAGTTATTACAAAAAAAATGTCAATATTAAAATAGCATAAAACTTATCGTGTTTAATCTGTTGCACTTTGTTCAATTATATATGATCATAAAGCATCTTGATTTAATGTAAATCTATCTCCTAACAGCACAAAAAACTAGTTGTACAAGTATGCGATAACGATTAGCTAATAATGATAGCATGAATAAAAATACAGTAATTTAACCGGAATGAATACTCTTATGCGCGTGCAAATATTATTATGATGTTTGACATTATATGTATATACATATATGTGTAGTGATATAAATATGCATAACGAAATTAATCAAAAAGCTTTTGACAAAATATAGATTATAATGATTTAATTATATGTAACAATTTGAATTAATGTTACATTTTAATTAATTAATATTACAATTTAATTAATTAACAATTTAATTAACTAAAATAACTGTGGCATTTTCTACATTTATACATATATATTTATATATTAGATTTTTTATGTCTTTACTTAATTTTAAATTACTTTTTATATTTCTTTAATTTATAATGAATTGTAAGTTAATCTATTCCTTTTTTAATTCATAATATAATATTTAAAAATATGGAATCAAAATATAATAATACGTAGATAATATGTATACGAGTGTGTGTATATATGCATATGTGTGTCAATGCATATAAATATATATACGGATAAAAATTGTGTATGAAGATACGAGAAACAAAGTAAATGTAGAATCTAAAATATATATATATGTATAGATATATATATAAATAGACATATATCCAAAGTTTTTATATAGATGGACTTTGACTTTGACATATCACTTGGTTTGTGATGCTTGAGGCGTCAATTACCACCACCACTCATGTCCGTTATCATCTATCTTTCCTCCAGCAAAAGAGACCGGTTAGTATTCGTAACCAACTGGCTGCGCCAACGAACTTGTGAAAGACCTTCTCTACAAGACCTCGAACAACAAACGATATCATGGAACATCAAATCATCTCTTTCGTCAATTGATATAATTTGATACAAAATTGTCGTGTTATCAAAGAGTGAGTAGGACTGCATTCAGAAACTTAACCCAAGTGCTCGAATGTGTAACTTCATCCTTATTTTATGTCTATGAACGATAAAGATAGAATGACGCACTAGAACACTCGGGTAAAGTTTCAAACACAGCCTAATATAGTACAGTTTCTCTTCAATGTGCACATAATTTAAAATGTTATTATTCACGAACTTGCAAAAAATGATAACTAAAACGGTTAGTAAAACGTTCATTTCTTAATTGTATAATGATGTATTTCACGTCAAAATAACAATGATATGAGTTAACAATGGAAATTACTAATATCAATAATACGCATATATAATAATAAATTATATACATGAAAATTTTAACTAACATATTATTAATGTTCAGTTATACAGTATGCAAAACATCGTCAATATAATCCGAATAAACCTCATCTTCATCATTCTCAGAAAAACGTCGTGTCATCTTATTTTCATTTCAATTAACTAATGTTCTCTCAGGTGAAGTGTGATCAGTAATCGTAGTTGGCGTAATTACAACGATAGCAATTTGATTCATTACGTACATCGAAGATTACGTAAGACGACAAACACTCGGATATAACGTATATATATTGACACAGAACCGGATCGTGAGTTCACTAGATCAAAATGAAGATGTTGCTATCGGTTCTCTTTGTGATTTTGGCTTTTGACCAAATTGCTAGCAGTTACCGAATTCTTGGTTTGTTCCCGTTAAATGGCAAGAGTCATTGGAACATGCAAGAGGTACTGATGAAAGAATTAGCGAGACGCGGTCATCAAGTGGATGTGGTCTCGCATTTCCCGCTGAAGAAACCAATACCTAATTATAAGGATATCAGTCTGAAGGGCAGTGTTCCAGAAGTTACGAACAATAT